GTAACATTGCTACTTAGAGTTACTTTAGGCTTTAGTTTTAGCTTTAGACCCAAACTTTTGCAGCACTGGTGTCTATGCCACCAAGGGAGGGCGAAAACCTTCCCCTCCCCCATGGATCCGCCCATATCAATGAGGCAAAAACGCATAAAAACAAGTAGATCGGTTACCGGTGTTGATGGTGAGTTGAACCATGCGTTTTTCCAAACTGTTCAGCCAAATACTCATTGTAACCAAATACGCCCGGGACTCAACCAATCTTTAACAGTATTTTTAAAAATTCCAAAAAAACTACACATCAAAAGAAAATCTCGGATTTCGGCAAAACCAGCTTTACGGGTGGGATTTTTTAAGTAATTTTTAATGCATATGAGATAGAATAATATCACGACCCTATGGTTTATATTTTTAAATTAGTGGTATGCCCTGTGTGTGTGTGTGTGTGTGTGTGCGTGCGTGTGTGTGTGCGTGTGTGTGCGTGTGTGTGCGTGTGTGTGTGCATATGTGTGTGTGCATATATGTGTGTGTGTGTGTGTGTGTGTGTGTGTAAGACGCCTAGTAAAACTTCATAAAAGTTTTAAAAAAAAAAGCAAAACCTAGGCTCCGGGCCAAAGAGTAACCTCGAACAAAAAAAAGAGCAAATACCCCAACCCCATCAAAACATATTTCCAAAATTCGCAGGAAATCAACGAAATCTCGGGCCTGAACCAGTTAGGCACAGCATCAACTTGCTGCTCATATCGAGGGCGAGAGAGTACAGCAATTGAAGAGATTGCCAGGCATTGCAGGTTTTCGCGGGACGGGGGCGGGAATTACAGGTGTTTGGGGGCGGTGCTTGCAGTGGTACCGGTCTCGCGGACTGCGAAATGTCATTCGTGGCGGCCGCCTCCGTTGGGGGCGGGTTGTCTGTTGAAGCGTAAGTGATTTAGCTGCTTGTCGCTGGTCTCCGGACCACCTTCCCAGAACACGTTTCCGAAATACCGTCTTGAGACAGGGTGTGGAAAAAGCTTGGGCCATATGGGATTGCCTTCCGTAGATATTTATGAAAGAATTTGCGTTTCCTTCTAGTTTTTATTGACAGTTCAGGTGGTGGCATCAGCAGTGGACCGAAATCACTGGAAGATCATTTTGCAAGCCCAAATTACTAATTTCTTTCAAAGAATTGCACAGAATTGCACTGAAAACAAAACTAGAGCAGAGGAACTGATAAAACATTATGTAGACTACGTTGGATCTCCTCAAAAAAGGGAAGGGACAGCGCACATGCATGAACAGGATACCGTGAGTACATGCTGTGAACGCAGCCTTTTCTCTCAAAAATTGTTCTGGACCGGGAGGGAATCGAACCATTCCTCTTCGCATTCGGACAACAACGCGTTACCACTACACCACCGGTTCGTTTGGTCCATGTTCAACTTGGCAGCACATCTAATGTGTATCTCCCTTTCAAGACA